TTATAGGAAATGAGTGTTTTGCGTTTGATATTCTTAACATCAACTTCATTAACCTTACTTTTGTCTATTTTAGCTCTGCTTTCATCTTGGTTGCAATGTTCTGATTCACATATTTCTCTTCTAGAGACTTTTTATCAGTTTCATTATCGTCTTCAGATTTAATATCTCTGTAACTATTGAGTTCAAAGTTTCTTAGTTCATACAGTTAGATTGCAGATTCATTAGCTAGTTTGCAGATTCATTAGCTCTTTTCATTTTATGATAATATTTGTCTTTGAATACTCTTTCTGAATTACTTATTTCAGCTGCTCTTTGATAATACATAGATACTTTATATTCATTCTTTTTGGTTTTAACTTTCTTTTTTAGCAATGTTCATTGGCACTCTCTATTTTAGCTTAATTTTATTTAAAATGATTAAAATGTCAGACTCATATAGTACATAGCTTTAGCCATCCCTATTCAATAGCAATTTTGATTAACAATCAATTTGTTATACTATCAAAAGCTTTATATATTAAATAATATATACATATCAAAGTTTCAAATAAGTTTAATGAATCATATAAAATAACCAACATGATTTTTAACAATTATTGCGACTTTATTGAAAGACCTCATGGAATACAATATTAAACATATGTTCAGTCTGTCTAGAATTCTCTTTATCTCGATTAATAGCAAAAATTTTCAAATTCTTTTATAAAGTTACTCTTGAGCAAGCCACATATAACTAGCTATAAATGAAAACAGGTGTTAAAAAATATAAATCTACTATATTTAATATTTGTTCTTGAGATTTTTTAATCATCATTGCAAAGGCTAGTCATATTGGAAATTGATGACATTTGAATGAAAAAGCTACCTCCAAGTCTGAAAGTGATAAGTAATGTGAAAAAGAAAAACATAGTTTCTAGAGTGCTTTTCAATAATAATTTCTGCTTTAATTACATGTTTCTGAAAATTGCAACAAACTAATCTTGTTCTATTACAGAGTCTATCAGCAGAATAAATATTTCGTAGTAATATGATTAGTGTATCTAACTTCAAAACTAATTTATGAGGGAGAAGACCTCCAATATTCAAAGAATTAAGAAACTCGATTTGATACTGATAGTCTGTTTTGGTCTGTTCTACAATTATATTTGCACTAAGATACTCTACTGATTCTTCAGAAAATTGTCTTATAACAATTGAATTGATAGTATTTACATTATTGTTCTTAAATGTGAGTATCGAACATTCAACTAAATATTGATGATTCATTTGCAAAAAAAGATTAAGATATACATAATAAATTATATCATTTAACTCTTGAGATAACAAGACAATATCTTCAGATAGTTGAATAGTATTTGTCATTAAGTTAGCAACAAAAGATATATGCTTTTCTCTAACTTTAAGTAACCATTATGCAAAATCATCCTGTTTAGCAAAATCAGAAGTACTCATGACATGATAAAGATGCATGTTAATTGTTAATTTTCTAGCTTTTACATATTTCCAGAGAGCTAACTATTATAGATAGGCTTCTACAATGTCTGCTCTTCCTCTCTTAGTTATCACTTTCAGACTTGGAGGTAGCTTTTTCATTCA